GATGTGGCAGTAAGTGAAAGGAAGGGGGTAAGTTACTAGTAATTCAGCTTACTAATTAGTCCAGACAACTTTATTTTATGCTATTCTGACTTGTAATGTTATTACTCCTTTCTATCCTATTTGCAGTTACCATATTTTATTGTAATCAGTTTCTCCCCATGTGATGCTTTATTTGGACTATGACATACCCTTTTTGTAAAAAATTTTAATGTTTTGTTTTTATTTTTGAGAGAGACAGAGAGACAGAGTGCAAGTCGGGGGGGGGGGGGCAGAGAGAGGGAGACCCAGAATCTGAAGCAGGCTCTAGGCTCTGAGCTGTTAGCACAGAGCCCAACACAGGGCTCGAACTCATGAACCACAAGATCATGACCTGAGCTGAAGTCAGATGCTTAACAGACTGAGCCACCCAGGCGCCCCTGGATTTTGATATACCTTATCCTATGAAGAAGATGTAGGGCTATAAGTTGGTGGTATTACTTGAAAATATGACAAAGAAGTTATGGATCAGACAATTTTAACTTTCTGGGGGCACGGTCAATAATCAGAAAATAAAAAAACACAGATGTCACAAAGTATATGACTATGAGGTTTTAAGAGATACTAAAAATACATGGTTGCTACTTTATAAAAATGGTTATTGCTTACAAATCAGTCAGAAAAGTTTTATTTCAAGAAAGTATGATGATTAGACAAGATGTGCCTGTGAATTTGGATAATGTTTGAAATTGGTCCAACAAAAGAACGCTTGCATCATGAAGAGAGAGAACATCCATCAGGCATCTGCCACCTTGAAATCTAGTTCAAAGCAAAATCATGCTTGCATAACGAACAGAGCACCCATCAAAACAAACACCAGCTTCTAAAATATGGTTTAAACTTAGGAATGTGGAGTGGGTGTACTTGAAAGAACACAGTCTAATTTAGAGAAAAGCAGACCTGGGAATGAATCTCAGTCCTGAATCTCATCGTCTGTGTTTTTGGGGAAGTTACTTAATAGTTTTCATTCTCAGGTTTCTTGGCTCTTAGAATGAGGCAACCACAATGCACCTCACTGGGTTGTGTGTGGATTAAATGAAATACTCTAGGGAAGTTATGGTAAACACTCAGTAGAAGTGAGTTCCTTTCCTGTTCACCCTGGATAAAGTTATACCAATAAGATAGAGTGCCACCATATATGTGTGTAACAAGAGGCAAAGGAGTCACATTAAATTGCTTGTGTGTGTGTATGTGTGGGTGGGGGGTCGGGGAAGGCCTCTTGGAGAAAGGACATTTATACTAGTCTTCATCAATGAGTAGGAAGTCACCAGGCATTGAGAGTGAAGGGTAATTGTCTGGAAGCATCATCCATGTGGAATAAAGAAGAGTCAATCTCATCAATTAGCACACGGCAAGAGAAAATAATAACTCCTTGAGGCAGCAGTGAGGAGTGAAAGTGATATGCCCAGAAGGCCAGGTTTCTGTAGAAGCAAGGATGTGTGGGTGGAGGGAAGGCTGGTGAAAATCTTAGAATGCCAGGCATTTATTCATTGTGGAAGGGTTTGGCAGTGGGAAGAAGCAAGGAAGTACTGAGTAGTGAGGGAGAGACTCAGGTGGAAAATTCATGGTTGGGAACACTGACCCATGCAGATGATGATTTTCCCTAAAGGAAGGGGGACACTGGACACAGTGAGCACCCTTGGCCCAAGAACTGCATTACAAAAAAATTTCCTATCAGGGTGCCTGACTAGCTCTTGATCTTGGGGTTGTGAGTTCAAGCCCATGTTTGGCATAGAGATTAAAAAAAAATAAAAATCTTGAAGGTGACTGGGTGGCTCTGTCGGTTAAGTGTCTGACTTAGTTCACATCATGATCTTGTAATTTGTGAGTTCGAGCCCTACACTGGGCTCGCTGCTGTCAGTACGGAGCCCCGCTTCAGATCTTCTGTCCTCCTCTCTCTCTGTCCCTCCCTTGCTCACACTCTCTCTGTTTCAAAAATAAACATAAAAAAAAAAAATCTTGAACACAAATACAATATGTTTTGCCTTTAAAAAGGGTAATATTCAACTAGTCTTACTCTGCCTTATGGGTAATTAATTCCTGATAAATCTTTATGTATTCTTAGCTCCCAAATTAATACCCATTTATGTGAAAACACCAAATTCCACTAAAATGGATTCAGTTACACAACATGACCCAAATGACCCAATGACCCAAGGCCATTTGCCTTTGTTCTATAACATGGTTGCTCTCTACCAGCACGCCATAACTTACATTTAATACACAAAGTATACTTGTGAAACTCAGTGCTTGTGTAATTGAGCCCTGAATGTAAGCCCTGCAACAGAACAGTAGAGGCAAAAAAACAAAAGGAAACACCACTCTCCCCATTAATGAAAACAAAGCATAGAATGAACTGTTACAAGTTAGGAAATCACAAGTTCCAATAGGGTGTGACCATGAAGAATGGGGACGTCATTTTACTGTGCCGAGATTCTCTGAGGAATGCAAAATCCAAATGGTCTTCACTGATAATAATGATAATGATAATAGTAACATTTACTATGTGCCAAACTCTTCTAGGCACTTCCTATTAGCTCATTTAATCCTCACAGTAACCCTGTAAATTTGATTTATTGATAAGGAATGCATAGAGAGCTTAGGTAATTGCTAAAGCTCACAGAACAAGTTAGCAGAGCTGGGTTTGGAAGTTAGTTAGGCACTCTGGCTCCAGATCCATGCTCTGTCTTTAAACACAAAGAAATGTCTTAGAAGCCCTAAAACTCATTTCTCCTGAGTGAACACATTTTTGGTGCAACAGTATTTTGATAATCCACTTAATCAAATATAAGGCACATGTCATTCATACAAAAGTAAACCTTCAACTGGTATAAAGTGTGAGGAATGCATTTTTATGTGTGGGAGGGGAAGCTTTGCTCTTCCTTGCTTAGTTCCCTCCCTTCCTCCTACCTAAATTAAGCAGAAAAATCTATAGACTTCCTATTGTTTATCAGTGTTGGGCCAGCTTTTCCCCATCATTTTGGTGTGCATCTCTGAAATCCACCAGGCTGAGTAAAAGCAAATGCTTAAGAGGCAAACAATAATTGGGTTACTGAAAATTCCATCATATTACATCAACCTGAGTGGTATTAATTCTTAACACTAAAGAAACATATCTTAATTTTAGCTCTCTTAATAAAGAAACACTATGTATAATTTAAAACCATGTCCTCTTACTGATGGTGGAGTAGGGAACTTGTAAATTTGTGATGGATCAAGTAAAAATGACTAAGCATTTTTCAAATACGAATTTCTCAAATATAACACAAATATGGCTACATGCAACCTTTGGGATGTAACCTCTGTGGCCCTCGGATGTCTATGTATACAATGATGCACCACCAGATGGTACTTTCTAAGTTCTTTTTACTACTGTAAAATTTTACAACTGATATTTTATCAGCTTTCCTCTTCTTAAAATCAGAAGTATACACTTAGGCATAGATAAGGTACAGACATATATATTTTCTCAACTGCAACAGAATATAGTAGTCTCTAGGGAATATCTTGATTATGGCATTTGTTTCTGTATTTCCGTAATAGATTATTTTACAGAAGAAAATTATAGAAAGCTAACAGCTATGCCACAGAAAAAGTGCAGTTTACGGAACTAAGTCCAATTTCTAGGTAAAACGTCACTGGTACAGTATTTACACTGAGCCTCCTCTAAAATAAGCTCCCAGCTGCTGGATGGAGCTCTGACGTTGCCACATCTACTGCCACCATCTGGTAATGTTAAAAACAAATAAAAAAGATACCACAGGACTACCCTATTCTTGGTCAGGAAAAGTCAAATTTCTAATTCAACTCTGTTTCTCATGCACACATCTTTGAAACTACAGAATGCCTGCAAACGGATTTGTTCTTTATTTTTAATTACTTTCAAAGAAGTTACATTTAAAAATATTAAATAGTAATATATTTTAACTTCCCCAAATTCACGGAAGATACGTTAAGTACTTCTATTTGTTGCAAGCCCTTTGACAAGTTATCTTAGAGCTTTATAGATATCCTATCTTGAGGATAACTAAATTGTTTTCTAACTTAAATCGTGGACTGCTACGATGTAATCGGAGACTACCATACGGAAAAAAAAATGTGTGCACAAGTTCAAGATATTCGCTGGGTTATGCAAGTTTTCCTCCATATACACACAATATGTTAACCTCAATCCTGTTTTTCGGTCTCCCCTCTCCGCCCCAGGAGCTACCAGATTACAAGTTGGCGGACAGCAGCTGCGGAAACCTGGCGGTGACAGGGAAGGAGACCTAGCAGTTCCGTCCAACCCTTTGCCCACCCATCTGCAGGCATCTCTCACAGTTTGCTCTTACACCGGGTCCTCTGCCCGGCCCTTTGCCCATTGATTTGCAGGTTCTCCTCCAATGCATTCTTCCACAGGGTGCCCCGCTTGATGTTATCGAAAACTGCCAGGAGCCCAGCGCCTGCGGCGCCCAGCAGCTCCCGCCCAGACCCTTCAGGGCTGCACCTGCCGAGGCCCCACCCGAGACTTCAGCCCGGCCTGGCCTCAAGGTCCCCTCCAGACCCCAGAGCAGCTTCTGGGCACCTGGGCAGGAGGGGGCTGAGCAGGGCGGGGAATGGATCCCGCTCCTCGAATTCCCTCGCGCCTTGGCTTCCCTTTCTCAAGACCCCTTGAGGGGCAGCAGCTCTGGTCCCACTGGCCAAGGACGAGCATACCCTGGCCACCCCCGCCCTCGGACAGCTTCGCTACTCACCGGCTTCCACCCGCGGGGTGCTCTGCAGCAAGGGCGTCCTATCTGAGCCCTCCTCGCCATCGCTGGAGGCCAGGCCCCGAACCGGGGACCTCATGACGCCTCCGCGGAGCAGGCGTTCGATACCTTCAGAAAGGAGAGCGGCGGCCGGACAGCCGAAGGCCTGGGCCGCGCGGGCACAGCCCCGGGCCTGGCACCGCCCCTCGGCTGCGTTCGTCACCGCGGCACCGCCCACAGGCGGCTGCACCGCCTCTTCCGCCGCCGCCATCTTAGGTTCGGGCAACTCTGGAGCGGTTGGGTGGGGGAAAGCAGAATTCTGGGAGTTGTGGCCTGGCAGGGCGAGGTCAGTGTTTTCTCGGCCCTGGGGCTCTGGGCTTGTCGGATCGTCGGTGTTACGAGGAAAACCCCTCTTGCGCTCCCTTGTAAAGCTTAGGGGCTGCTCCTGCGGGACCCGGATTGAATGGGACCCTTCAGGAGGCAACGACTTGAATCGCGCATAATTAAGGGGAGGGCTTGGAGCAAATTTAGAAGTGGGTGGTGTGTATTTTGACGTTCATTCGTTAGTAGTAAATTGCCATGAATATCAGCAATCCTGGTACTATCTACCCGCCCAGCATATTGTCCCTAAAGTAGCTTTTGAGGAGGAAAAAACTGAATGGACACACATTGTTCGTTCCTATGAAATAGCTGATTTTGTGGGTCAAAAAAGCCAATGTTGTCAGTTTCACATGATTCAATTTATAGAATCCTCTAATATGTGTGTGTAATGTCTCCCTAGTTCTAATTCGGATAGCAACTTCTGGCATTTGCTGACTCTGGGAAAGAGTAAAAGGGACCAGTCTGCCTAGGGGGTGGGGTGGGGAATTGGGGGATGGGGCAGTGGGAGTGGGACGGAGGTGGACCTGCGGTCCTGACCACAGGCCACAGGTTTCAGTTGAGCTGTTATCGTGAGTAATAAAGTCCTGGAGAAAGGAAAAATAAGATGTGGTAGATGACCTTGGGGAGTTCAGTGTAGTCGGGGAAGACTCACAGACCAGTAAAAACCAGGTCAGGGGCTTGGTGAGATCCATGAGGGACCGAATGGGAGGGTTAACCTTACCCAGCACGGAGGGTGAAGATTTCTGAGGTTCTCTCTCACCTCCAGATCAGTAAATGCCAGGAGAGTTACCAAGTGAAAACAACAAATCAAGCCTTGTTTCTGAGTTACTGAAATGACAATGCAGATTCTAAGCTCTTCAAGAGGGGTAGGGGGTGGGATTCTGGCCTTTTTGGAGTCTTCTACAGCAATGCCACTCAAACTTGACTATGGGTGAAATTACCCCGCAGAGCGTCTTAAAATGCGAATTCGGATCTATCAGCTCTGGTGTGACAGTTAATTTTATGTGTCAACCTGCAGGGTGTTTTGGATGAGGTTAACATTTAAATCAGTGAGCTCTGGCTAAAGCAGATTGCCCTCTATAATGTGGGTTGAATTTATTCAATCTAAGGCCTGAATAGAACAAAAGACCCCACTCCCCAGCCAAGGGGTAGTTGTCCAGCAGACTGCCTTTACACATCATTTGCAACACAGTCTCTCCTGGGTGTCTATGCTGCAGGTTCACACTGCAGATTTGACTTCCCAGCTTTCATAATTGCATGAGCCAATTCCTTATATAACACTCTCTCTCTCTCTCTCTCTCTCTCTCTCTCTCTCTCTCTCTCGGTTCTGTTTCTCTAGGAAACCCTGACTAATACATCTGGAATGGGCCTGAGATTCTGTATTGCTAAGAAGCAATGAATAACAAGTTTATAGAAGACTTGGAATAAGGATTCCAACATATATGAAAAATTTCAAACCAGAAGAGGCCTCCCCCATTTTTAAAAATATGCTTTTTATTTTAAGAGTTTTAGGTTTATAGGAAAGTTGCAGAGATAGTACAGTGAGTGCTCTCTACTCTTTACCTGGTTTGACCTCTTAAGATCTTACAATACTTTGATATGTTGGTCACAGCTGATTAGCCAATATTGATAGGTTATTAAACTGAAGTTCATATTTTATTCAGATTCCTTTAGTTTTTACCTAATGTTCTTTTTCTGTCCTAGGATCCCATCCAGGATAACACTTACATTTAGTCACTGTGTCTCCTTAGGCTCCTGTAGACTGATGGTTTCTCAGACTTTCTTTGTTTTTGTTGACCTTGCCAATTTTGTAGAGTACTGGTAGTTTTTGTAGAAAGTCTCTCAATTTGGGTTTGTTTGATGTTTTTCTTGTAATTGGACTGGGGGAAGACTGCAGAGGTAAAGTGCCATTCTCATCCTGTAATTTCAAGGGAATGTGCTGTCAATATAACTTATCACTGATGATTATCACTGGTGATGTTAAGCTTCATCACATACCTGAGATCATGTTTGTCAGCTTTCCCCCCCTGTAAAGTTACTCCTTTTCCCCTCCTCCCTTTCCAACTTTTTTCTTTGGTAGAAGTCAGTAATGCAGCTTACACTTAAGGGATAGGGGAGTTATTCTCTAAGTCTTTGAAGAGCAGAATTCTTTTGTATGGGAGATTTGTGTATTCTCTCATAGTCATTCATTCATTCATTCATTCATTCAAGTATTTATGTATATTACAGGCCCATAGTTATTTATTTTATACTTTGGGTTATAATGCAACACTATGTTACTTATTTTGTTGCTCAAATTGTTCCAAGTTGGTAATTGGAAGATCTTTCAGTTGGTTCCTGTGTCCCTTTTGCTTGTCTCCATTGTTGTGTTTTGTTTTTATCTCTACCTTACTTTCTGGTTTAGTAAGATGTTTTAAGGGCTTCTCTGTGGCTGTCAGTTGAGCATCTGACTCTTGATTTTGGCTCAGGTCGTAATCCCAAGGTAGTGGGATCAAGCCCCACGTTGGGCTCTATGCTGAGCATGGAGCCTGCTTAAGATTCTCTCTCTCCCTCTGCCCCTCCCCATCTCTCTCTCTCTCTCTCAAAATAAACAAACAGATTCTAGGCTCAGCCTGTATAGCCTCTGCTCCTGCCATTTCTCCAAAATGAATGATGTTAGAAATCAAGATGGTGCTGGATGTATTTCTTGCTACTGCATTGTCATTGCTTCTAAACCCAGAGAAAATACTTTTGTGTTGTTTTATAATGTTCCAGAGAGAAATTAAAAAAAAAAAAAAAGCATAAGATGGCATCTTTTTTTGCCCTCATTTCTGGCATTTACTTCCCGATTGCTCACTACCATAGAGGATTGTTGTCAATGTTATTTATTTTTTGGTTGGTAATTCCTTGTTTTACCAACACTCTAAACTGATGCTTTGAATAGAAATATAGTGAAAGCTACATATATAATTTAAAATTTTCTAATAGCTACATTAAAACAAACTTAAGAAACAAAAAAGATGAGATGAATTTTATACTATATATTATTTAACACATTATATCAAATTTTATCAATTCAACATCTAATCAATATAAAACTATTAGTGAGATATGTTACACTCTTTTTCTAGTACTAAATCTTCAATATCTCTGTGTATTTTGCACTTATAGCACATCATCATTAGGATCGGCCATGTTTCAAGCATTTAGTTACCACATGTGGAGTGGGCACCATATTGGACAGAGCAGCTCTAGACCATATGAGGGTTTATTTTTCCCTCATGCCTTTAATTTTTTTTTTTTTAAGTTTATTGTGAGACACAGAGAGTGCGGAGGAGGGGAAGAGAGAGAGGGAGAGAGAGAATCCTAGGCAGTCTCCATGCTGACAGTGGGGCCTGAAGTGACAAACCGTGACGTGAAGTCATGACCTGAGCCTACACCAAGAGTTGGATGTCTAACTGACTAAGCCACCCAGGTGCTCCCAGAATAATGTCTTTGGATAGGGAAAACAAAACAAAACGAAAAAGACATCTGGGCAGAGTGCCAAGTTCAAAAGATTTTAGCTGTTTTCCTCCTCCATAAACTGAAGATAATAGTAGAAACAACCTCATAGGGTTTTTGTAAGGATTAAATAACGTAATGCATATACATCACAGTACATGGTAGGTAGCAAGTCTCAATATATGTTAGCTATTACAATTTTTATTGTTAAGTTTGTTTTGCAAAATGAGCTTACCCATGCTAGGAACTCCCTTTGACTTTCATTATACCTTTTTAAAAATACATATCACATTCTCTCTGGAGTTATGTAGTTAGTAGTTGGCTGTGTAACTGTCTTAGCTCCCTTTTAAGACTTTAGGTTTCCTAGGAGCTGGGACCACATCTTATTTACCTTTGCAGGCTATGCAGCTCCTAGCATCTGTTCTTTCACTGTGCTTATCATGTTTCACAGTGCCTTATTATTTTGGCCTTGGTGAGACTACTAAGGTGAGAATTACAAGTAGATAGAAATATACAGGGAGTAAAAATTTGAATGGAGGACAATATTTGAACCACTAAATTTAGAAATATTAAACCTTATAATAATTTTTGGATGAACAGTGTGGTCCTATAAAATCATCATTTCTTTTTCCTAGCTTTTTCTCTAAAAAAATAATCAGTAATTATCATGATTATTGAATTGTATTGGTAATTGAAATGTTTTAGTCAATATTTTGTTTTGTTTTGTTTTGCCAAACTTGACAATCATCTGAGAATTGATTTCTGAGGGTTAATTTATAAATTCTTTGTCATTTTATGGGTTTGAATCTCTAGGATTTAGTAATTATTTTCTTTAAATTGTATCACATTATTATTTATAAGAAACTCTTCACCATCTGGAGATCTTTTTCTCATACAGTTATGTGAGTTAAATTCCACTAACCATTTTTTTCTCATATCTTTATAACTTATACAAGGGTATCAACTAAACTTAGTGACTTAGGTATAATATTTAAGGAGGGATGTTAAAATATTTTTAACATGATTGATAGAAAAATTTCCATTAAGTCTAAGGTTCCAGGGTGCTTTGGTGGCTGTCGGTTAAGCATCCGACTTTGACTCAGGTCATGATCTCATGGTTTGTGGGTTCGATCCCTGCATTGGGCTCTGTACTGAGAGCTCGGAGCCTGGAGCTTGCTTCAGATTTTGTGTTTCCCTCTCTCTCTGCCTCTTCCCTGCTTACACTTTGTTTCTCTCTCCCTTTCTCTCAAAAATAAATAAATAAACACTAAAAAAATTTTTTTTAAAGTCTAAGGTTTCTCTCCACTCTATTCTCTTCTCCATACTTCTCTTTTTCTTTTCTTTCTTTCTTTTTTAAAAATATTTCTCTCTTACATTATCTTTTTGAAATTCTGATTTCAAACTTTATTACAAGGCTATCATAATCAAAATAGTATGGTACTGGCATTAAAAATAGACACAAAGGCCAGCAGAACAGACTTGAGAGCTCAGAAATAAACCTTCACCTATATGGTCAACTAATGTTTGACAAGGGAGCCAAGAATAGTCAATGGGGAAAGGATAATTTCTTTAATAAATGGTGTTGGAAAAGTGGATAACTATATGCAAAAAAATGAAATTGGACCCCTATATTACACTACTCACAAAATTTAACTTGAAATAAATTAAAGACTTAAATGTGAGACCTGAAACTGTAAAATTCCCAAAAGATCTCCTTGACATCTGTCATTGCAATGATTTTTTTTTGGACGTGACACCCAAAGCATAAGCAACAAAATAAAAACTTAAATAAGTGGAGCTATATCAAACTAAATGCTCTGCACGGCAGAAGAAACAATCAGCAAAATATAAAGATACCCTAAAAAATTGGAGAAAATATTTGCAAACCATCTGTCTGGTAAGGGGTTAATATCCAAATATACATGGAACGTATACAACTCAATAGCAAAACTAAAACCAAGCAATAGTATTAAAAACTAGACAAAGGACTTGTGTAGACATATTTCCAAAGAAGACATGTAAATTGCCAAAAGGTACATGAAAAGATGCTCAACATCACTGATCATCAGGGAAATATGAATCAAAAAACCACAATAGGATATCATCTCACATCTATCAGAATGGCTATTATCAAAAAGACAAGAGATAAGTATTGGTGAGGATTGGAGATAAAAGGGACTTTCACGCACCATTGGTGGTGGAAACATAAACTGGTACAGCTGCTGTGAAAAACAGTATGGAGATTCCTCAAAAAATTAAAAACAGAACTACTATATGATCCAGCAATCTCACTTCTGGGTATATATCAGAAGGAAATGAAAACACTATCTCAAAGAGATATCTGCACCCCCGATGTTCATTGCAGCATTTTTTTTTTTTTTTTGCAGCATTATTCACCATAGCCAAGATCTAGAAACAACCTAAGGAGCCATCAACAGAGAAATGGATAAAGAAAATGTGATATGTAACATACATAAAATGGAATATTGAAGTGAGTATGGAATATGAATGTGGAAGAATATGGAATATTATTTAACCATAAAAAGAAAGGAATCTGTCTTTTGTGACAACATGGATGGACCTTGAGGGCATTATATTAAGTGAAATAGGTCACACAGAGAAACACAAATACTGTATGTTTTGCATATATGCAGGATCTAAAAAAGCTGAACTCCTAGAAATAGTACAATGGTGGTTGCCAGGGGCTGGGGGTGGTAAGGAAAATGGAGATGTCAGTCAAAGGGTACAAACTCCCAGTTATAACAATAAATTCTAATGTAATGTGTAGCATGGGAGTATAATTAATAATACTGTGTTATATAATTAAAAGTTGTTGGGGCATCTGGCTGGCTCAGTTAGAGGAGTGGGTGATTCTTGATCTCTGGGTTGTGACTTTGAGCCCCATGTTGGGTGTAGAGATTAAATAAATAAATAAACTTTAAAAAAAGTAGTTAAGAGAGTAGATCTTAAATGTAATCACTACAGACATATACACACACCAAGGTAATTATGTGATAGGATAGAAGTGTTAACAATTGTGATATTCATTTTGCAATATATACATGTATCATATCAAAATTGAACACTTTAAACTTATGTATGCTATATGTCAATAATATTTCAATAAGGCTGAAAAAAATTCTTTTCCCTATATCATCTGTATGTACCTCAATGTTATCTAAGATATAAATCTGATTTTTAAAATTTTAAATTAAAAAAAAGCCTTTCAGTGGTAGCTTATTGCCTAGGTCTTCACATTTTTTGATTGTGTACTCCATCAATAAAAATTATGAATATGCACCCAACACATGTATTTTTCTTTATAACACACACACACACACACACACACACACACACACACACACTACACTCATCAAACACTCAAAATGTAAAAGGATGAGAAAAGATAAATGTAAATAGATGTTGTGATTTTTCCTGGAATAATTTTACATATGCTCTTGGGTGAGTGCACCCCACTTTGAAGACCATTTGTCTCTAGGATAAAATCCAAATTCTTTGGTATACAACGCGAGACCTTTACAAACTGGACCCTGTTTCTAGTCTCATCTACCACTTCCTGCCATCTGCTCTATGCTTTACACATTGGACTACTCACTGAACCTTATACATACAATGTTTTTCCTTGTGTTATTCCCTCTACCTATTTGCTTCTTTTGTGTATAATGAGTTATTTGTCCTTAGACTAAAATGTCAGCTTTGATTTCTTAACAATCTCTCCCTTTTCCATTTTTTATTATAGCAAATTGTGTTAGAGTTATCTAAGACAGTATGATAATATGTGTCATTGCTTAAGAACAGGAACCTTGTCTTACTTATTTTTCATTCCCCGTCCTAAGCAGAGAGAACAGCTTAAGAAATATTTATGAAAAAAATATTTATGGAGCTTCGTATTATGTGAGAGGCCCTTTCCTGGTTGCTGTGGGAGTCTACAAGATGTATAAACATGGTTTCTGCATCCAAGGAGTTTTTGAGTAAGATGTACCTCGAAGGAAACATTTATCAATTATCGTCCAAGAGAAGTATAAATATTTCTCTAACAATTATGAAAGTTAGAGGATGTAGTTTTTATTTATATTTTCTAGAGAGCAAGTGGTATATGATTAATATATTCCAGAGGAAGAGCAATAATATTTTTAGGAAGGAATTTAAAAAATGGATAGTCTGGACATACTTTCCCATATCCTGTTAACTTTAGGCAGCTGTACTGTCAGATGTCCTCAGATAGTGATCAAGACATAAACAAAATAAGACAGGTAAATATGCAGTTTTCTGTCATGTTTATATGCTAGCATGCACTTAATTGTTTTCACAGCAGAGTTAAAATTTCCTAGTGCTTTATAACCTAATAATTGGGTAATTCTTGGAACATATCCACATGCTTTATAACCTAATAATTGGGTAATTCTTGGAACATATCCACAGATGTGGGTATTATTATAAACATTTTTAAAGAGGGGAATGAATGGATGGCAATTGAATGAAGTGATTTGTTCAAGATCAGTGAAAGCCACTATTAGAATTCAGAGTTATTGCCTTTTCTGGTATTCAAATCCTAGGACCGTCAGTCTCCATAATTCCCTTAATTTTCTACATTTTATATGTTAACTTTCCATCTTAAAACTTTTGGGTACAGTTTCACTTAGTTGTAGAAGTCATTTCAATGATAGGTATATAGTATGTGAAGTTGTCAAATGCTGATTACAAATCATATGACATTTTCTTTATCAGTCTTCTTTCATTGCCTTGTTGTAGGGGCGCCAAAAAAGCAGCTTTATTAAAAAAAAAAAAGCTATGAGTAATGTTGCCTCTGGGAAAAGCCTGTAAAAAGCTGATATATACAATTTAAATACTTGGAAAGAAGATATGTCATAGTTTTATCTCTTTAACTTCAAGGAAAGTAAACCAAATTTTGCAAATGTTGTGAAATATCAGTGGAGCAGATAGTAAATCAGCTGGCTAAACACACAAGAAGCGCAAGAAACAGAATGACCTTCAGAAATAAGCTAAAAGTGCATGCAAAGCAACTTGAAATTGAATGACTCAGGCAGATTAGAAGATTAAGGTTCAAATCTGTTCTTCTAACTAATATGTGAAGCCACAGCTCTGTTGAGTCAGCCCTTCCTGGTAACCCTTTTGGTCAGAATTCTGTCCACACATACATTCATTCTGAGTAAGGAAAGATATACTGGCTTAGAAAATAACTTGTTATTTTATAACAGAAAACAAAATCTGTGATCAATGGAATATTGATATTAATAAGTGTGAGGGCATCATGATAACCTGCTATTAGTACAGCAATACCTTATTTTTCCAAAGGATGTGTTTCTAAGTTTTATACAAAGCCAATCATATTTAAGATGACACATGCAAGTTTGCTATTTTTAGAGAGACTATGATTAATCCTTTAGTCAAGGGATAGCTGAATTTTCATTTTTTATGTATTCTATTAATAGGGAACACTTACTGGTTTTTCTCTTCCAGTAATTTAAAGTGGGGAAAAGCAGTTATGTTCAGATTATCTTTCTAAATAAGTTCCTTAGGAGTAAAAATTGCAATCTGCAAATCAGTTGGTGAGATGATTCCAGTTCTATCAATAGACCCCTTTTAATGTTGTGGAAAGAAACAAACAAACAAACATACAAAAAAATAGCAAAGAATAGAAATCTAATAACAACAACAAAAAGAGAACTCAATCTGCAGAATGTGATTGATTCAATTCCCAGCCCCAAATAAAAGCCAACAGTAAGATACATAATTAATGAGCTATGTAGTGCCATCCTTACATATAAAAGAAAGCACTTAAACCAGGTCTCAGTTTTAACTTACAAGAGGTGACTATAAAATAATGAGATTTTATAAGAGAGAAATTTAAGAATAGGTTCTTAAGACAGTTTTAGGGGAAAGTTTCCAAAGTATTTTGAGGGATAGGAAAACTGGAGAAAAGCTTTTAAATCTGTTAAAATTTACCTTTCCTTTTACATTAATGTGTGTTTATTTGGAAAAAAAATCCCAGTAGCCTCTTGATTTATTGTTACATTATTGCCTGTCATGTAACCAAACTGTTGGCTTAGCTACTGTAATGTCAGCAGAGGCAGACCCCATACAACACTTCCTGGAGGAGGGCATCAGTGAATTGATAAGGAAAAAAGATACAGGGATACAGGGCGTAGAAGGTGGAGCCATGGGAAGGACTTTTGCCTGAAGGAGAAAAGATGATCAGAGTAAGGGCAGAAACTAAGGTTGTTAATTTCTTTTAAAATTTCATTTCATCTTATATTACTTTTGTATTGTATTGTATTGTATTGTATTGTATTGTATTGTATTGTAAGCTCTATGTCCAATGTGGAGCTTGAACTCATGACCCTAAGATCAAGAGTCACATGCTCTACTGACTGAGCCAGCCAGGTGCCCCAGGGTTGCTAATTTCTTAAAACAACCCTGTGCCAACAGTGCTTACAAGTTAGAACCTGTGGTAAAAACACACCTACCACCACTTTGGTCCAATGTATTAGAAAATAGAAGAAACTAATGCTCAGTACCTGTTATGTGTCAGACACCATGGTAACACATACATTATTTAATTTTCAAAGCTTTCGTAGGTTTTGGTAACAATATTCTCATTTTATAGCTAAGGAAACCTGAGCTCAGAGAGAGGAATTTACTTAAGCACAAGGATTAGAATGTGTGTTTGTATTTTTCCAGACCCCATGCCGTCTTCCAGTGGATCATCTATGTAACTTCTCATTCTTAGGGTGCTAAAATTTGCCTGGCTTAGGTGTTAGTCAGTGTTTTGGCCCATCATCTGAACCCATCATCAATGGGAAGGGTCTGAGGATGGGGTTAATTGTTATGCTAGAGGGTGTAGTGTTAGAACTAAGGAGGCTAGATTCTATCAAGTCCAAGGATTGGAAAAGGGAACCCCAGAGGATTAGAAGGCTGATAGACATGAATATGAAAACAAACAAACAAAGGTAAAAGAACTTTTAAAGACACTTTGTCCTAGAAAGTACCAAGTGGACTGTAAAGGATATTTTTGGAAACAAAGCTCAGTTTTAGTATACACATAGAGAGCTGTAAAAAAGTGGAGCAGGTTTGGACTGGAGTAGGTGCCTGTCCGCTGACCTCATTACTTCTGATAGCTTTAATTGTATCTCAGAGTCATTGTTTTTATTGTGGACATTTTCTGATAAGTTAAGGAACAGAAATGAACAAATTGAATGCTATGATGCAGGTTTAAGGAAGTTAACGCTTTTATACCTTTGTAAAGCTTGGAAGAAACTTTCAGTGATAGCTTCAGCTGTGTCTCAGGTTTTTTGTTGTTGGCTTTTTTCTGATTACTTAGGCAAGGGAATGTATAAATTGAATGCTGCGATGCAGGTTTAAGGAAAGTCACCTATGTTTGGATTAGTTTGCAAGTACAACATTTGAAAAAGAATACCAGTTACCACCCAATCATTCCCACCCTGTCCG